ACTTTTTGTTTCACAGGTTAGCAAGGTTGAAAAGAGTATTTTTATTTATTTCTTTACTATATGATTCTAAATATTAGAAGTATCTAAAACAAATTACTAGAAATAGAAAGAAGAATATTTTTTGTAAAAGGCTGGGGAAAGAGGAAAATAGGGAGGAAAAAGTGATTTTAAATACACATGGCAATCAATAGACAACCTAAGGGTGCATTGCTTAAGAAATACCCTGCAGAGGTGTGATAAAACTGTGTTGGTGCAAAAAGCATGACCCATTCAGAGTTATGAAAACATAATTAAATTTTATTCATTGTAACATGCGACTTAAGATATATTCCAAAAAAAAATGGTAAAGGTAATGCCAGATCTTTAATGTTAATCACACACATGCACATACTATTCTGGTTCTTTTGGGTAAACTCTCAGATTACTGCTCTCTCTACAGTTTCCAAGAATAAGACAATTTTCCAAAATCAAAAAGTATATTTCACTACGACCATTTTTATCTGGTGTGTATTCAAAAGAGGAAATATGAAAAAGAAAATGACAGCAAGGTTGTCAATTATTAGCTACTTCATAGTTTCTTCTAATTATTGCCTTTTTTATAATGTTAGAGTAATTGAGAGAAAATTAATTCTTAGATAAATTAAATTTAAAGGACAAGGCAAAGAATAAGTAAAGCACAGTAAATTATTAGCACACAATTTCACTTTTTTGACCTTAAACAAAAACACAGTCAGATATTTCTCCAGAAAAATGGATTTTTTCAGGAACAACAAGAATCACAACTTGGTATTCAACATTTAATTTCATGTTTGTTACTATACCATAAAGATGGTGTCATTAATGGATAAAATGTTGGTTTTCTTGTTAACATACTTAAAACTGTAGTCAGTGATAACACCCTTAGTAGTTTTTATTATAGATTATATTTTATTTCAATAAACTTTAATATTTAATTAAAAAAAAAAAAGAATTGCAATTTGGGGCATGTGATCTAATGGCCAGCCACACTCAAGTCCAAAGAAACAAAAGAGAGGAAATTCTTTATAGAGAATAGGAGAAATTCAGAGGGGCTGTTGTAAACCAGAAGTCCAATGGAGGAAAATGGCAGTTTAACATATAGTGGCTTTTCATTGGCTGATTTTTAACAATCTTTCCTTGGCTGAGTGATTGTTGAGGAGGAGATCTTCTTTCTTCCTGTTAGAGTAGACAAGCATCTTCTTGTTGGAGGTAACTGACAACGAGTGGTAGGGTGTAAGAGCTTCACCTACAGGCCCTCTCAATTCTAATTTAAATGAGGTTTCTGTTTATTAATCTTCACAACTTGCATATAAGAGAAATCATTAATAAATTGATCTTATCTAATGAAGGCAAAAATAGAATTTGCATAAAGAAGGAGGACTGAGGGGGTATGAAAAAATCTCAGAGAATTGGAAAGCAAAGCACTATTTTTCTTTCCTTGCATAAGCTGTTGATTGATATGAGAGGCTCACAGAGACCGCTCTTTTGGGAGCCGAAGGGTCATCAAAAGAAAGAGTTTTTATAATTAATCTATTTCTTGAGAAACTTTGAGGGTTTGACATGAAGTAAGTGTATGTGACAGGCTATCATTATATAATGTAGGCAAGGAGCTTTGTTATTGTCTTCATCTTAGTTGTGTCAAGTCTGCATCATCTCCCTTATCAGAGGTTTTTTTTTCATAGTTTTGGTTTTTTTCATAGAGTTTCCCTGTATGACTGTCTATTTTCCTGTGTTAGTCCCTTTAAAGCAAGTTTGGCCTTGCTATATGTACCTCATGGGATTTTTATAAGGCACATGCATAGACCAAAGGAATCAATTTTTCCAGACTCAGAGGGCCATCATTTCAGGGTATATTTTAAAGCCAACTGGGTGAAAAATCATTCATATAACAAACTAATTAGTGTCTCCTGGGAAGATACTATTTTATTTGGTGATAAAAAAAATAACAGGAACCCTAAAGACTATTATTCATGTAGGACATATTTTCATAGCTATCATTATAAATAATTAATGACGGTTAAGGATTGGGAGCAGTTAGAAGCTCCTCTTACTAAAGAATATGCATAATAATCAAAGATAATATCAACAAAATAAGATTCATAATACAGGAAAAAGAAGCCAGTTAATATTCTACTCATTCTTCATGTGTATCTGAAAATATAATATAAATATATAACTTAAGTGATTATACTGATATAATGGACAGCACCAATTGGAAGGGAGGTGTGAATATAAATGATGATGTCAAGTTTGGGCAATAACTTCCTTAACTGTCTGGGTGGACGTATAACATTAACATGTGTATGAAACTCTTGATCACCATACTAATAATATTCTGATTTTTAATTTCTCCACTGTCACCTCATCCACTGCCTGGCTAAAATTTTTTAAGTCTCTCTGAGTTCAGGGATCTATATAGTGAAAGTTTCCTTCATGATTCTAATTCAGAGAGTTATACACATTAAATCACCTAGTTAAAAGCAAGTATTTCTGGGAGAAGATAAAACATTACATAAATAACTACAGTGAATATTTTTGTATAAATTAAATGAGCTTTATGATACAGAGCCTAGCACTGTACCTGGCAAATAGTAGACACTGGATGGAACAGTTCCACTTAAAGTAGCTTGTCTTGGATTTTCAAATAGCCAGGTGGAAATAAGTTCTGACATAGAATTATTAAGTGGGTGTGTTCTTTGTTGTTGTTTTTTAAATATATCTTTATTGATTTCAGAGAGAGGAAGGGGGAAAGAGTGAGACAGAAACATCAATTATGAGAGAGTCATTGATTGGCTGCAGCCCGCAACCCAGGCATGTGCCCTGACCAGGAATTGAACCTCGATCTCCTGGATCCTAGGTCGGTGCTCAACTGCTGAACCACGTGCGGCTGGGCAAGTGGGTGTGTTCTAATAGGAAGAAGGAGAGAGAGTTGCATCATTAGTGAAAAAGAGAGCTCACAAGAATGTCAGAGTGAAGCACTCCACATGTTTTGGAGCGGTCTCAGCCTAACGATAACCAATTTTGTGGTTGGACTGGCCCTTGTAGTTCTTATTATTGCAAGACCTTCAGTAATAACCATCAGGAAAGTTTATTACTCACAGGTTCTGGAAAGCACATGGTACATCTGGGGTCACACAAGGAGGTCATGGAAGAGGAAGGGTTAGAGGAATTAGATTTCTGCTTTCCTGGGTTTGATGGTGGGAACCTGGGACTTCCTGTTCTCTCTCTTTATTGGTGAATTTAAAACATAACAGTAGGAATGTAAAGTGTAGAAGGAGAAAAAACAAGTGGCCTAAACAATCAAGATCTCTAAAGCAAAGGAAGGGATGGTGGGGCTGTTCCAGGGTGATTCTATCTAGTCCTGTGTTTATTGGAGATAGCCAGCTTTGAAGTGGATGCTTCTTTGAATTGGGTGCCTCAGCAATCAAAGCTTAAGTCATGCACTCACATTACAAAAAGAAAAGCCAGCTCTCAGGTCTTACAGGACAATGCAATCAAGGCATAGGCCAATCAGTACACCTTGCGGAGTCAAACCAAAGGAGGTGTGTGAGTATGGACAACGAAGGCTGTGGAGGCAAGCATCACTTTTGTCATAATTTTGCTTACCCTACATTTGTGGAAAGATTTCTGAAAGCAAGACCCAGATAAATTAAGAGAATAAGAGGATTCTTGTCTTCTGAAAAAGGAGAAGATATAGTCAGCCTTATTTAATAAAATATGAAAATTAAAAAGAGGATTAAAAGTGATATTGTGTTTCTGAAGAGGAAAAGAGAACAGAAGCAGATTAAATTTAAAGTTTAATAAAGGATCAAGTTTAAAAAATTGAAGAAATTTAAAAAGCAAACTACAGGTCAAATAAATAGGTATATTTTGTCCCTAAGGCACTTAGAATTAGCATTTTATTCTCCTTTCCAAGTAATATTGTTTCTCTAATAATTGTAGTTGTGATTCACCAATAGTCTGTTTACGAGGGACTGAGATCATTGGAAGAATGACTGAACTTTGGGTTTTAAAAAATATTGTGGGGATACCAGGCAAAATAACTACCAAAAAAAAAAAAGTGCCATTGGCTTCAACAGTAATGAAGTTGCTGTAGGTGTTAGAAAATTTATAGAGTAGGGTTGGAAGTGAAAGTTTGCAGAGGCTTAAAGCCTAAACTAAGCAGAGGTAAGATGAGCAGGTAGAAACGCTAATCTCTTTTTAAAGAAATTAAAAACATAACAAAAAAGGCACTACCTGACAGACTATATTTAGTGATATTAAATGTAGTTTTAGCTTCAGGGACTTTGAGAGAAATGGTACCAGAGTCAATTAACTGAAAAATAACATGAATGCATATGAAGAGACTCCTTTTGTAAATATCTTGAACACAGTATTTTCTCACATTATAGATAAAATAATTTTACATAAAACCGTCTTAGGGTTAAGAAGGAAACCAAATAGAGAAGAATAAATAGACAAAAATCTCAAGATCCAGTGTTATATTTTGTTGTCATTCTTATTTGTTTGTTTTTCCAGGAGAAATGCATCCTACTCTTAAAACAATCCTTTTATTGGAACAACAGAAGAGAATTCACATTCTTAATTATCTGGATATGTCCTATATCTAAGGTTTGTCTTGGATAAAGAAGGCTTAAGTAATATCATCATTTTTCCTAACTTATTTGTAAATTCAATTAATGTACTAAATTATAATCAACCACATTTATAAATTTTGAGGAGCAAATAATGATCTGAGAAACAGCTGGATTATGAAACAATAACAGGAATCCTGAAGGAATAATAATTTGCTCATACAAGTAATATTCAGGAAGTCTATTGGAATAGTGACAATATTGATTATGATGAGAAATAAGAAAATAAATGTAGACTGCTTTGCTTGGTATTTAAACGCATAGTCTTTTGCTACAGAATTTGAATATCTGTGTCCTCATAAGATCTCTTATTTTTACATGCGATTGGGTAGATTTCAAAAGTCAGTAATGAGAAACGACACACCAATAACAACTTTTATCCTGCTGGGATTAACAGATGACCCACAGTTACAAATTCTGCTTTTTATCTTCCTATTTCTCACCTACGTATTCAGTGTAATAGGGAATCTGACTATTATCACCCTCACATTGTTGGACTCCCATCTTAAAACTCCCATGTACTTTTTCCTCAGAAATTTTTCCTTCTTAGAAGTCTCATTTACCACTGTTTGCATTCCTAGATTCCTGTACAGTATATCAACTGGGGATAATACCATTAGCTATAATGCTTGTGCAAGCCAAATATTTTTTGTTATTTTCTTCGGAGCAACAGAATTTTTTCTCCTGGCAGCCATGTCCTATGACCGCTACGTTGCTATCTGTAAACCCCTTCATTACATGACCATCATGAACAATAGGGTCTGTACCTTATTAGTCCTCTGCTGCTGGGTGTCTGGCTTGATGATCATCCTCCCACCCCTTAGCCTGGGCCTCCAGCTGGAATTCTGTGACTCCAATGCCATTGATCATTTCAGCTGCGATGCAGGTCCCCTCCTAAAGATCTCCTGCTCAGATACATGGGTAATAGAACAAATGGTTATCCTTGTGGCTGTATTTGCACTCATTATCACCCTAGTGTGTGTGTTCCTGTCCTACACATACATCATTAGGACAATTTTGAGGTTTCCCTCTGTCCAACAGAGAAAAAAGGCCTTTTCTACTTGCTCATCCCACATGATTGTGGTTTCCATCACCTATGGCAGCTGCATCTTCATCTACATCAAGCCCTCTGCAAAGGATGAGGTGGCCATAAATAAAGGTGTGTTCGTGCTCACTACTTCAGTTGCACCCTTGTTGAACCCCTTCATTTACACCCTAAGGAATAAGCAAGTGAAACAAGCCTTCAGTGACTTCATAAAGAGGATAATATTTCTCTCAACGAAACAGAAGCTTTGATGAAGCAGAGTAAAATGACAGAAGAAAGTCCTCTAAATAAGAGCTTCATTTATTTCATTGCTTTGTGCCTACACTTTACCCCTATTAACCTTCTCAAAGACATTTAATACTGCATTCTATCTCACCTTAATCAATTGCTTCCTCTTCTTTCAAACCAAACTCATACATCATCTTTTCTCTCATTGTGAACCTATAAAATATATTTCCAAGTAATTGAAATTGCCTCTATTTCTGACCTAGTCTTTTTGTCAGTGTTTTGTAAAGAAAAAAGTAGTGATATTTAGAAGTATAAAAATTATCCCTGGCCAATGTGGCTCAGTTGGTTGAGTGTCGTCTCGGGCACCAAAAGTTTGCTGGTTTGATTCCCAGTCAGGGCACATACTCAGGTTACTAGCTCAATCCCCAGTGTGTAGGGTGAGACAACTGATCAATGTGTCTCTCTTGCATCGATGTTTGTTTCTCTCCCTCTCCCTTTCACTCTTTCTAAAGTCAATAAATATACATTTTTAAAGTAGCCCTGGCCAGTGTTGCTCAGTGGTTAGAGCATCAGCCCATGCACCAAAAGGTCATGGGTTCCATTCCTGGTCAAGGGCATGTACCTGGGTTGCAGGTTCCATCCCCAGCCCTGGTCAGGGCAAGTGCAGGAGGCAACCAATAGATACGTCTCTGTCACATTCATGTTTCTCTCCCTCTACCTCTCTCCCTCCCTTCCACTCTCTCTAAATCAATGGGAAAAATATCCTCTGTGAAGATTAACAACCGCCAAATAAAGTATATAAATTATATAAAAGATACATTATGTAGTAATAGTATTAGTTTTTCTAAGACAAAGTTATCAAAATTAATATTATAAATCTAAGAATCAAATAAAAAATAGAAAAGAGCAATAGCAAAGATGTTGAAAAATAAATCAAATCTACCCTTATTCTATTCAAACTATTCCAGAAAATTTAAGAGGAGGGAAAACTCCCAAACTCTTTTTATGAGATCAGCATCATCCTAATCCCAAAGTAAGATAAAGACACTACAAAGAAAGAAAATTACAGGCCAATATCCCTGATGAACATAGATGCTAAAATCCTCACTAAAATACTAGCAAACCAGATCCAGCAATACATTAAAAAGATCATACACCACTACCAAATGGGATTTATTCCGGGGATGCAAGGCTGGTACAACATCTACAAATCAATAAATGTGATACATCACATAAACAAAATGAAGGACAAAAATCATATGATTGTATCAATAGATGCAGAAAAAGCATTCGAAAAAATCCAGCACCCATTTCTGATAAAAACTCTCAACAAAGTGGGAATAGAGGGAACATACCTCAACATAATACAGGCCATATATGACAGACCTACAGCCAACATCATACTCAATGGGCAAAAACTAAAATCATTTCCATTAAAAAC